TTGACTGAGTGTTTTGAGCATGTTGAGTGGTAGGTAGTGGGTGTTAATACCAGTCCTGTAATGAGGAGGTTTCACTCTATCAGTATGGTTTTTACTGAGAGGCTTGCTATCAACAGCGCATACGGATCAATACTTTGTATTAATAGGCATCTATGGTACTAGGAATCACCTGGGATTGATTTGGTTCTCAAAAGGGAAAGGGCTAACAATACTTATTAAGCTTTGACAAAATTAGTTGAAGATTAATAGATATTGTTAATGGGAATATTCAGCTATGAATATTGTGGATAAGTTGAGTAAGTTTTACTGAAGCTTAAGAACAATAAATGTAGACTAGATTTATGTTGGTTATGTGTACTGTATCAATACAAATTTTAACTGTTTTAACTGGTGTCTGAATATTCTGGGGATTAATCAGTGAAAGGGGCACGGATTATAAGTTCCGGAATATTGAAGGAGGGAAAGAATGAGTGCTCAGAATCTAGGGATCTTTGGCCTGGAGGATGAGCACATCATTTGATTTGACTGATCCTTATTTGTCATGATCAGTAAGTGACATCATAATTGTGTACTAGTTGATCAATGTACTAGTTGCTCTTGATGTGTGCACTTTAACAGCTCCTCTAATAATGCAGTCATAATTGTGATCTGTGTATGTATTGAATGTATTAATTCTATTAGCACTTAATACTTATTATTCAATACATGTACATATTTATTTGTTATGATATTTGTCCATGAAAATACTGTAGGACAGGGATAACTTGTGGTACAGGTATTTCACGGATAAAGGAGTGAAAGGTAAGTAATAATTACTTATGTATGAAACAGGTATGTATTTAATAGATAAGTAATTAGCAGATAAGATAAATATAAGATAAATAAGATAAGTTAATAATAATGATAAGATAACAAGAGGTAAAGGTAAACAACATTATGGATAGGTACTTATGTACATAAGTACAGGTGTTACAGTTACTTGGTACATGAAAGGTATTGTGACATGTACTCTGTGGCTAACAGGGGGAAGGTGAGGGCATCCTATATGATGACAAGAGGCTGGCAGATTTTTCCTGGCCAGAGAGCTGCCAAAGTTTTCTGTGGGCTTTGGTGTGAATCTGTGATGCAGTAGCACAGAGTGACTGGTCTATAGGACATCTTGCTGCTATGGTGTTGCACTTCAATAGCAGACAGGTGGAATGTGGCACAAAAATATTTCTGGGTACTGTGTTGACCACAAAGCCCTGCATATTACATACCTAGAAAGATTTTGGTGCACTGCTATTTCTCTCCTCTGCTACTTGTTTTTTCCCCCGATACATAGAAATCAGGAAAATGCTACCAGCAGCCACAGAAACCAAACAATGTGCTGCTTACTGCTTTATGTTCAGTCCTGTCAGAAGACAGGCACTGTTGCGAAATATTAAAGATGCTTCTGGTAGCGTAGATCAGTGTAGAGATGGCACTTAGGGACCTGTGGGGATACCTGTTGCAGAAATTTGAATGGTTAGTGAAAGAGTTGAAAATGCCAAATACACACAAATATTTTAAAATTGGCCTATAAAATTGATTGAAGAGCCTCAAGTGTCCTCACAGTAAGTGTTACAGGAGGATAAAGTATCACTCAAAGGAACGGTTTGTTCAAGACTTATGATTTCTTACTGTGGTGATATCTAGAGGTTTCAAAGTAATTTAGATACAACAACTTCAAGTTGTGGTTGAAACCAACATTTCATGAGTATAATGAATAAGAAAAGACAAGATTAGACTGGTGACAAATGAATGGAATGCAAGGTGGGTTTCACATTTGAATGGAATGCAAGGTGGGTTTCACATTTGAAATTTTTGCTTCTGAGTTTGATAAGATTCTTTTCTGACAAGAGTAGAGTTAGCAAGCTCAGCAGACCTCAGAAATACCCATTGAATGAACCAGTTGACTTACACACTTTTTACAGGTTGTCAGGCCCAGAAAATCAAGTCTACACAGGCTTGATTGCATCATGTTGATGTGTTTTGTAAATTAGGGGGGTTCATGATAGCTTCTCACAAGAAGCGATTTCTTCTCACACAAGAAAACACAGCACTGATGCAGACTTGAAATTTAGCGCAGAACTTTAAATTTTTGCTGAGAATATTAACATCAGGAATGTGTGAGCAAGAAAAAAAATAATGGGTTTGAAAAGCAAAAAAAACACCATTGTGAACCCCGCTACATAATAAAGATTCTACCAGTGCTGTAAGCACTTTTGAGTTTCACAATGGTTGCTTCTGGAAAATACCAATTGTGAACCCTGCTAATGAGTGAAGTTCCAACACCTGTCACACTTCAGAGCATTTTCTCCACACCACCAACCACAATATCCAGACAACAACCCTTGGGACCTCAATACCAAGTGCTTTGGATTCCACAAAATCTGTATTCAAATTCAGGATAGCAGGGCAATTAATTGTTGTAGTGCACACTTCAGAGATAAAACTCCTTGATGACTGGATGAAATTTGGCCTATCACTCAAAACATCACCCAATCTAAATCTCATTTCAGATAACACCGTAAAACTTGAGAATTTTTGGCTAAATAAAACATTAATTTCAGTAAAGAAAATGAAAAGAAAGAGACAAAACGATAAAGAAATGATAAGAATAAAATGTTACCTAAATAAAACAGGAAACAGGTTATGGATGCTAAGATATAAAGATGAGAAATGAAAACTGTTGATGACTAGGTTGAAAGAATTAAAAAGATAAGAGACTGTTAGAATCATATATGCGAACATAAAAACATAGAAGAGAAAAGATTAAGAACCTCTGAAAGTTAGCCTAGATGAAGAAGTCCTTGGCAAAGTTGGAAAGATGAGGATGAAGAAAGGATAAAGGATAAAGGTTATAGAACAATTGTTAAGTTCAATTTGTTGAAGTAAAGGTTGAAGAGGTAAATAAAAAATATTCTTCAATGAGTGTACGGGCAACAGAATGGTAAACAGAACATAAAGAAAAAGATAGGAAACAACGGTCAATAGGGAAAAAGAAGAACTAGTACAAAGAACAACCACTGTGTAAGATAACAGCGAAAACTGTGTAAGATCACAGATCCCTATGACATCATAAGGTGTATGTGTGCCGTTGTGACGCTCCACTATAGCCACATTTCAACAAAACTTACTGTTTTTCTTTTCTTTTTCCTTCCTCCTCACCACAGCTGAGGGGGATATATGAGGCCCTATAATGTTTATCTGGCTTGGTTTTCAAGCTGTTTTTCACAGAAATAAACTTCTGTACTGAAGCCCAGTAGGTTTTGTGGACCCAAGCATACTAGGGGGGGTTCACGATTGAACTTCAGAGTGATTTTTAAGGTGTTTATGAGCAACATTTTATAAATTTTTTGAGTTTTTCCAATTTATTGGTTGCTGAACCTTCTGTACATCACAAAAAAATTATAAATTTATGGTCAAAAACACCTTGAAAATGGCCTCAAAGTTCAATTGTGAACCCCCCTGTTGAGAAAATGGCTCACAAAAATAGCAAAGTGCCATTATTAGAGGGCTCTTCTCACCATACAAAGACCAATCTTTACATTGTCATTTGGAGTACATATAAATTCATTCAAGGCTATCCCAGTGGATCAGTCTGTGAGATGGAGGCCAAAGGGGTATCTCCCCCCCTCCTTCATCCAAAGAATTTACAGATCGAGGATGCAGGTTTCATGGACTAATTGTTCAAAATCTTTTCTAGAAAGATCCCTGGGTGGGTTTGTGCATGCTGGATGCAAATTCCCATTATCAAATTTAGCTAGAGGTAACACTTATGATGCCTACAATTACATTGGTGAAAGATTCAATTCAACAAAAATTGGATGCCATTAAGATGCTTCAAGAAAAAGTTGACCAATTGGAATGTGATACCAACCAGTGATGAAATTATAGGTTATGACCAAGGGGAAGAGGGGAAAGAAGTGACCGGAGCAAGAAGCTCAAGATAGTCTTGAGGAAGAAAAACAAGGTCAAAGCACCTCAAAAGAGGTTTAAGCTGCTAGCTTGCGTGGCGGAAAAGCACTCACGCTACAGGAGATTGTATGTCTTAGAGACCTCAGGGAAATGCGCGCAGAAAGCAGATGTCTTTCAATTTCTAACTCAGGAGCATGTTTATTTATCTACATACAAAAGTGGGCTGAGATGTGGGACAGAAGGTGACAGAGGCATATTTGTCTGGAGCAGGAAGGACATGAGTGACAGATGAGGAAAGGAGTGACACGGATGTGAAAGGGAGAGAAAGGAGTGACACGGATGTGAAAGGGAGAGAAAGGAGGGACACCATGACTACAGAATTCCAACAACCAGGTATTCTCTTTGTCTTGAATGTTCTGATGCCAGTCAGTTCCGAAATCTTTTTTAAAATTTTCATAATACTGAGGTTTGACATCATCACATCGCTTACACAGGTGCTGTGATGAACGGCTTCCGGTGCTCTCCATAGGGAGCAGGGGGTATAGTGAGGTTTCCACGGCTTCCGCATCCAATGAATTCCCATAGCACCGTGTAGAAGTAAACTGGTACCCCTTGAACAGCTCAACCTCAAACGCTTCACATTAGCTATGGGTTGTAGGTAGCAATTCGGTAGTGTTTCCCGGCCTTGGTCGCAATGCTTGCTATGCGGAGGGTGGTGAATTCATTTGACAACAGAGGGGCGCAGTAACGGGGATATTTTCAACAACAAAATGTAAGTTTCAGCAACCAGAGACAAGTTCAAGTCATAAGAACCGAAGCACAAGATACATAACTACCGGCGCCGTCAACGCATTCATCAATCTGCTGGAAGCTAAGTCGCAAGAGAGTCAAATGAGAAGCCTCATGAGTGTATATATAGTGACTGGAATGATTCCCAGATAGGGAAAATTACCTTTACTACATCCAACTCAGCCTCATCAAAATCGATCTTAACAACCATTACCCTTCCCTTCTCGATTGTTGTCGTTGTAGAGTGTGACTCAAGTTCATTAGCCTTTACAACTCAGTCTGTCTGTTTTTCCATAGCACCAACTATTTTACTAGAATCACTACCTCAGAAAATGTTTGTCAGCCCAAGTAACTCTATCGTCTTCTTCACCTTCATTTCTACCTATGTCTTAGGACGGGCTGTGCCACAAAGCGGATCATCCTTTCAAGAGTCACACGACCTCCGGAGAATTATAGCCGACTATTCCGCCGAGGTAACTGCGCAGGAGGAGATGATTAAGGGTGTTTGGAACCAGCTGAATGCTCCAGATACTCAATCTGAAGAAAACGTTTCGACCCTTTGCAGCGAACTGATAGAATCCTACTATCGTCAAATGGAGCCGCGCAACCGCATGATTGAGCTCGTGCCAACCGACAATGTTTTGGATGCCAACTCTCTTGAATACCTTGTTGCTGTAGCTTCTCGTTACGCCAACAATGTGATGTAAGTTTTATTCAAATTGCCATTAAAAACCCAGGAAAACTTGATCATTTGTTTGTGACTTCTAACATTTTGCAATCTGTAAACAGGCACCTTGCACGACAGATCAGACAAGATCCTCTCGATCAAGAGAGTTCTGCTTCAGCTCTAAACTTCCTGGCGAAGGAACACCAAAAAGCCCATATGTGTATGCATTCTAGAGTTTGAGCGAGCTTGGCATGATCGCGATCACTAATTTCGTCTTTTTTTTCTGCCTTCTATTTGACGCTAAAAGTCGATCAAGTCCTCTTGGGTTTGGCGGACGTTGCTCAGGGTCCGGAAGCAAGCAGAAATGTGGAAGAAATCTCCACTGAAAGCAACAACCAGTCCATTTTTGAAGACAATGAAGTGGCCTCAACAGAAGGGTTTTCCCTCGCCCAAGTTGAAGCCTTAGAAAATAGCAATGCTTCCGGCATTTCTGTCACAATTGAAGAAGAAAAGACAACAACTACTGAGACAGTTGTGACCTCCTACAAGGTGAGCTTGCATTAATTCTAACAGGATTCAAGAATGTAAATGTCGATGGATTAATGTTTGTGTCTTTTTTATTTTAGGAGACTCTTACGTATTGAATGGTGAAATACCAATCTTTGATACGTTTTTTTGCATTCTCATGCATATATGGCAAACATAAAACTTGCATAGTCTTGCTTATTCCCTTTCTCCCAGTGTTATCTCTTAAAAATTTTGTCTCAACAACTGTACAGTTATCCTTTACCAAATTTGTGAACACACGTACATTCTTGCTCGTCTATACAGAACTGTAGATCATATGTTTATCACATACAATGGTTACGTATATCAGCAGAAATGCTGAATTGTATCTAGTATTATCTAGATAGCATCACTCTGTCAGTCTTGTTTTGTATAAAGAACTTGTGCATTTGGGATTTCCTGTTGTTCAGTGTGGTCTTCAGAAAATGTTTTGTTTGAATAGATTAGAAAAAAATTGAAACCCTCATTTGAAAAACAAAATCACTTCCTCCTGAGTCTTGTGGATATCAAGAATTTTCTGAAATATTAGAGCAACTCCACTGTGGGCTGTAAATTGGGTCTGTACGTGGAATTGAAGGACTTGGCACAACCCACTGCAGTTGCTAAAATCTATGGTGGTCCCTAATTTCTGCTCTCAAGTCCTCACATGCAGGGACTTCTAGGTACTTGCCTAGGGCCTGTATGGCCTAGCGGTAACCACCACCCACAGAAGCTTGGTGTCACCCCTGTGCAACATACTACACCACGGGCTCTGGTCGACTGATGCTTGACGGAAAGAATTCCGTAGGCTTGACCCGTACCGCCCCGACGAAAAATTGGGGGTGCTTCATAGCGGGGGGGCGTAAATCCCCGCGGTCGGCTTGACCGTTCAACGTTGGCTTGCCAGCGGTGGCAAGGCAAGCTTGCGGCAGCTTGACAGCATTGTGTCATCATGACAGTTGCTGCACAGCAGCTGGCTGCAGTGCAAAAAAAAAAGAAACTTATCTTGGGGCTTGAACCCCCTACCTATACTCAGTACACCATTTTCAACTCATTGCATGATGATAACATGATAGGAGGGGCTAACCAACTATGGCAATCATGATTTCATACCAGTCTGGCCTGGATTTGCATATACATAGATATAAACTTTCAAATTACCTATAAGATTTTTTTGTCTTAAAGTTTTTTTTTCTACAAGTTTTTTTTCTGAGAGTTTTTTTTTTTTTTTTTTTTTTCTCGAGGTGGCCACAATCTTTTGGACATGAAAAGGGTGGAGAAAAAATGTCAAAAAAAAGTTTTTTTTCTTCATTTTCAGACATGGGGTCAAGCCGACGGTGGGACTTTTTGACCCTGAGGTCAAGCCAACGTTGGAATTACATTTTTCCTACCTAAAATTGATGTTGGCCAGACCAATCCGGCGGGATTGTGTAAAAGGGGTTAAGCCCGACCAGTGCTTGACCGCGGGGGCAAGCTGACGGAGTGCCATTTCCAAAACTCAACCTGTGGTGTATACTCGCTTCGGGCAATGAGTCCGGTGTTTGAATCCCAGCAGACCCAGCCCCTGGCCGCTACCCCTTCCCCCTTGGACAACTACACCACCCCTTTCACTTGCAAACCCTTTATTTGTTGAGCAAAAGGCATCTGCGAACTTATGTATACTCTCGGCTCAACCATCGCAGGAGCTGTCACAGGACCTATCACAAGAGTTAAGCAACGTCCGGGCTTCTGAGCTCGACATTGACAATCCCCGACTACCCGAACTACAGTCTATAGAACATGCGGAGCATGTTCGGAGCGCATTTAGTCAGCGCCAAAAGGTGTATAATAAAAGAAAGAACATAAATATTCAATCGATGAATAGTTCAAATAAGGAACTAGCTGAGATCATCAATGATAACGCAAAAGTCATCGCAAGCAAAATAAAAGCAGCAACAAGATTAAGAGCATCTCCAGCCGAGGAGGTAAACCGGGTTGCTAAACCCCATTTAGCAACCCAACCCGAAAATAATCCACCCACCCGGGGTGCCAAACAAAATTCTACTTTGCCTCGGAAGGCAAAAATGGGCATCGGGTTGCCAGATTCAGCAACCCACTAGCAACTCACTACCTCCTGTGAAACTCACGTCTTCGATGACACCTCTTGTGTTTTCTTTGTGAATCTTGGATGACAAGTCATTCACAGCTACCACCCCTTCCCCCGATTCCCCTTGACTGCTCTCGAACTGCACACCACCCCACCTTCTGTTTTTTACTACAAGTATATCTCCATAGTTCATACCGTTTTATCTCCCCTCAAGCTCTCGGCTATATACACGTTAATCCAAATGGAATACAGCATTGATCCAGCTCTTGGTCCCCTCAACGGTACGAACTCTTTTTTTTCTGTATGTTTTACCTCACTAATTTTTATATGTCTGTTCTAGATACCAACATTCAAGCCACAAACAAAGCAAGTCATCCCCTTGAAGTAGATTCCGACACCGAAAAGCGACCAAAGAAAAAAAACAAAAAGACCAAAAAAGCACCAACAATCGAATCCACTCTACCACCGAAGAAGAACATACCAACGGCTAAGAATGATGCACTACCGGCAAAGAAGAAATTAATACCGGCTAAGAAGAACCCACAACCGGCACTGAGGAATGGCGCATCACTAGCAAGCACAAACGCGACTGCCAAGAAGATGGTGTCAAGCGAGGGAGGGGATGTTCCGGCTGAGAAGATTTGTCCGATCAAGCAAAGCCAACCGGAAAAGAAGAACGCACCTGCCGAGATTCAAGTAGAAAAAATTACGCCTAAAAACAAAAAGAAGAACGTCTCGAAGGAGGCTGCGACTAGCGAATCCGATACAAAACCGTCTCGAGCCAAAGCTTATCAAGAGGACGAGGATGTGCAATTATGCAAGTCATGGCTTGAGGTTTCCCAAGACCCTCTGAACTCAACTAACCAGGCCGCAAATACCTTTTGGAACCGCATCGCTGATCACTTCCAGGCGGCCATGAAGGATAAGAGTCGAACATCAGTCAGCATTAAAAGCCGCTGGCAGCTTCTTCAACGCCGAATCAATAAGTTTTGCGGCTGTATTCAACAGGTCGAGCAAGCAAATCAAAGCGGAACTAACGTCGAAGATCGACTGAGCAGTGCTCTAAAGCTGTACTTAGCTCTCTCCGAATCGAGTTTTACGCACCTTCGATGTTACAATATCCTCTGCCACGCTCAAAAATGGAAGGACCACTGTGTCAAGCTTGAAAAGAAACCTGTCGAACATTGTTCGACCCCGTCCGTTGACAATACAACCAATCAATCTCTCTCCTCCGATGCTCCTGCTATGGACGAAAACAGTGATGCTTCGACCATTCAATCCGGCAGGACGGCACGACCGATTGGAAACAAAAAGGCCAAAGAATTTGCCCTCAAGGCCCGAGAGGACAAGAAGTTCAAAGATGACATCATTGCTGTGCATAAAGAACTTGCACAGCAGACTCAAGTGCAGAACAATATTCTATCTGAACAACGCGATTCGATCTCAATGTTGGCTGACGAGGCTGTAATGAAGGCCGATCTATCATCGGTTAGCGAGACTAGTCGACCATATTACGAATGGCAGCAGAAAAAAGTGCTGGATAAAATGAAACGAGAACAAGAAGAGTACGAAAAGAAAGAAACCGATCGAAAAAAACGAGAAGAGGAGGCAAAGAAGAAAGAAATCGAGGAGGCAGCCAAGAAGAAAGAGAAAGAGGAGGAGGAGAAAAAGAAGAAGGACGAAGAAATTAGAAAAAAATCAGCCGTAATAATCTTATTAGACGACCATGATGAAGAAGAGTATGACGATGACAACGATGACGAAGGGGAAGAGGAGGAGGACGAGGATGAGGAAGAAGAGGAGGAGGAGGAAGAGGAGGAGGAGTAGTCAACATAATTGTAGATTATATTGTATTGATTCTCTTTTGCACGCTTGTCCTCAATCATCGCTATCGAGTTTCTCTTTTTTTCCTCAATCAATATCCCTAGCTTGTTTCTCTCACACTCGTGTTTGATCTCTTTTTTTTTCCTCAATCATCACTAATTTGTTTCTCTCACACTTGCGGCTCGTAATGCAAGTAAAAAACGACTTTCTTTTTTATTATCATCGCTAGCTTGTTTCTCTCTCTCTCTCACACTCGCGGCTCCTTGTGCAAGTAAAAAAGCACTCCTTTTTTTCATTGCAACTAGACAGGGCTTTGACTAACGGGGAACAGGCAGTTAAAAAAAGAGAAAAAAAAGAATCGGGATCAATAACAAAAAAAATGAGAAAAAGAAGAAAGAAAACTAATTGGGACCGATGAGATGAGCATCTTTTGAGGCTCCCTTAAGGGCCCACAAGTGCTTAACAAGATCGTCTCTTAGTTTTTAGTGAGCTTCCGATGAGCGCAATGTGATACAGTTCGCCAGGAATGCCGAGAAATCCGCAGAGCCAGTTGGGCTTGGTCGAACAGATGGCGTACAGCCATCATAAATCCACTCCTCGTTGGTGCCTCGTTCGTCGTCGATGATCATATTGTGCAAGATCACACAAGTTTTCATGATCTTTTGGAGATTATCGTGGCTCCAGCCCCTAGCTGGTTGAGAGAAAATCGAAAACTGTGCTTGAAGCACTCCGAAAGCCCTTTCAACGTCCTTACGACACGCCTCTTGCATTTTGGCAAAATGCTGCAATAAAGCATGTCAGATCAGCAAGTGCGAGGTTTAAAAACATAATTGCATAAACAAAACATCGCGTCGCTTACCTGTTTTTCAAGCCCCTGAGGGGCTGAGATGGTTTTGACTAGGGTTGACCAGTCTGGGTAGATCCCATCAGCCAAGTAATACCCTTGCGTGTAAGTGTTTCCGTTGATCGTATATTCAAGCCGAGGGCTGACACCATTAACAAGCTTCTTGAAGAGAGGCGATCGGTCTAGGATGTTGATATCGTTGTGCGATCCTGGAAGCCCAAAGAAAGCATGCCAAATCCACAGATCATGAGAGGCCACTGCTTCAAGAACGAGGGTGGGCACCTGTGTTTTATCATGGTCAATATCGTCTTAAAGTCTAACCGCACTGAAAATTAAAATCATCATACCTTATTCTTTCCTTGATACTGACCCTTCCACGCTGCTGGACAATTTTTCCAAGTCCAGTGCATGCAATCAAGGGAACCGAGCATACCTGGGAACCCCCTCTTGCTGTTCATTGTGGCTAGCCGTTTGACATCTTCCACGGTCGGTTCGCGAAGGAATTCAGCGCTATAAAGATTGATGACTGAATTACAGAATTCATTCAAAGACTCCAACGATGTGCTTTCACCAATTCGAAAGTATTCGTCGTTGATGTCCACCGCGCCCCCGTAGGCAAGCATCCGAATCGCTGAGGCAACCTTCTGAACGGGGTAAAGACCCAATTGACCTAATGCATCGGCTTTCCTCTTGAAGTAGTGGTTGTGCTCGGTTAAATCATTGACAATCTTCAAAAAAAGGCCCCGGTGCATTCGAAATCGACGGCGGAAAAGATCATCCACGTAAACAGGTTCCGGGGCAAGGTAGTCTTTGTAAAATCGTTGATATCCTTCCTCAAAGCCACGGTTCAAGTTTGCGCGACGACCAGGCCTCGATCCGCCACGAACCAACATTTCCTGATTGCTCTCTTCATCGTCCTGGTTGAGTATGACATTTACTGTATCTGAAAGGACCGTTTGAACTCGTCGAGTAGTGGCAAGGGCGATGGCCTGCGATTTGAGGAGATTTTCAAGGAACTGGGCGTTCATCGTAGTTTGTGGAGTATGCGGAGGAGTATTGTGGCGCTTGATGGAGGAGTATTGTGGTGATGTGGAGGCTATGCCGGGGGAAGACGGGTAATGGAGGTTCACAGACCTCTGGTAGTTATAATAGCAACCTCGGGTGTTTGGCAGAGCCGCGCGGGTTGCTAGAGGTCCTAATTGAGTTGCTATCCGCGCGGGTTTAGCAACCCGGTTTACCTCCTTGGCTGGAGATGCTCTAAATGCTCGCAAGAGAAAAGCTTTTTGGACTGAACTAGCAATTTCCAAGAAACGCCGAGTAACACTCGGTAAATATAGAATGCGACCAGTAAAGCACACTGGGAAAGCAAGCATACTCAAATGCTTCAATAGGAGAGGAGGAGCTTACGGACTTGTGCACACCCACCAGTGGTGGACTTTAGTATAAAAGGGCTCTGATCTCTACCCAAGTTGTATTTCATCATCTCTTCACATTATCTTTTATATCTTATCATCTTCATTAGTGTACATACATCTTTATCCTGTCTGGTAGCCTCACTCAACAGACCTACATACTAGCAATTAAGCACATAACTTATTTTACAAACTTAACACATTATCAGTACGGAAGACTCACCACTGCTCACCATCAAATGGATTCCAGCACCGAAACAAAACGCTACCGACTCAACAACAAGAACTATGCAACATGGGCAACCATGATGCGTGCCAAAATGTACGGCTTAGGATGCTTACCGCTGATCAAAAGAGAAACGGTCGCTGCTGCCGAGTTGGATGAAAAGAACATGAAACTATATGTTCTGATCATGAAACATCTCAACAAAGAACACGTAGCCATAGTTAACAGCAAGTTTGGAACTGATAAAGAAGGAAAAGGACTCGAGCTTTGGGAGCATTTCAAGAAGAAGTACGCCGGTAGCGAAGCCCACCACCAAATGCTGGCGTTAGGGGAATTCATCGACCTAGAGTTCAAGGAGACGAAAGAATTCGTCAAGGAAATACGTAATGGCATCAGCAAAATTTGTACTTCAGGTCTCGACGTCAAAGAACAGGTGGTGGCTTTATTAATACTCAAAAAGTTACCAAAGGAGTTTGAATCATTAGTTCGTATTATCATACAAGACAACAGCAATCTAAAAACCGAGGATGTCATCTACAAAATTGAGAAAGATTACTTACAGTTCAAACTAAAGAAGACCGACAAAGTTGCCATGGTCGGGCAACAACAAGCACCAAGACGGACGGGCAAATGCTACAACTGTGACCTCGCTGGCCACTCAGCTAAGGAGTGCTGTAAGCCGTGGACAAACTACAAATTTGCGCCGCCCAGAACCAATGTAGGCAAGACCGACACAATCAGTGTATCGTTCATAGCAGCCAAAAATGGCATACATACTGAATCTGAAGAAGACAACATCGATTTCTACGATCCGATTGCAACCAAATTAGAAATATTTGGTGACCTCTGAAGCGATGGATTCTACAGTCAAGAAGAAGAAGAACAGGCTCACAAGGCTATGGCTGGCATAGTATCGGCTAACAGTGCAGTGGCTCCTGGTGATGCAATAATATTGGATTCCGGCGCGTCTGATCACATGTTTAACAAAAAAGAGGACTTCATCAACTACACTCCACACAGCGGAAAAGTAGAAATTGGTGAAGTAGGAAGAAGCGTAGAAATAGTAGGCAAAGGCGACATTGTACTTACTTCTGAAAACAATACGATAACCCTATGCAATACATACCACGTTCCGTCTTTGCTGTATTGTCTAATTTCCCAAACTTCTATTTGGGACAAAAGAGGTCAGATTGTCAAGACAGGAGGAGATAGCTTTGAAGTCAGAATAAACAACAGGAAAGTATTCGACGGAAATATCAAGAACCGATTACCTTTTCCCAATCTGAGAAGAAAAATCAATACTTGTCAAATCAGCCTGGAAGAGCATAGAAGAATGGGACACCCTGGCGGCGTAGCTGAATGCGAGGCATGTCGACTAGGAAAACAGACCAGGAAACCGTTCTCAGATCACCGAGAACAAACGAGCGTGGTAGGAGAAGAACTTTCAGCAGATGTGGTAGGATCGATATCACCCGTGTCTCTTGGAGGAGCTCGGTACTTTCTAACTGTAGTCGACACTGCCAGCAGATACGCATGGATAAGAATGCTGACAGTGAAGAGTCAAGCTGAAGGCGAGCTCAGGAAGGTTGTCAACCAAGTAGAGAATAAAATTGAGAAGAAAGTCAAGAGGATAATTACCGACGGAGGAGGAGAGTTTGTCAACCATGACATGAACTTATGGATGGGAGAAAAGGGGATTTCCCACCTCATAACAACTAGGAACACCCCTCAGCACAATGGGACCACCGAAAGAATGAATCGAACCATCATGGAAAAGGCTCGCACAATCAGAATTGACTCAGACTTACCTAAAGAACTTTTGGCCGAATTAGTATCTACGGCAGTTTTTCTATACAACCGAAATCAGAAAACCAACCCTTACTTACACATGTGGGGTGTTGATCCAAAATTAGATAGCATCCGGCCGGTTGGTTTGAGCGTGTTATACAGCATCCACCATTTCGAGAAGATTGGTAAAATGGATCCTCGATGCGTGAAAGGAATCCTAGTTGGTTTCGACAAGTAGATGAAGTCCTATCGGGTGTGGAATCCAGAAACCAGGAAGGTTGTTCGATCAAGGGATGTTGTATTCAGCAGGGCACCAGACAATGACATTGGCGAAATATTCACAGATGAATTTGAATCAGAAAACACTCAACCAGACGCACCTGATCTGACTGCAACCAATCCAAAGTCGACTATAAATGAAGAGGGGGAACAGTCGGAAGAAATCATTGATAGTCAACTTAGTGATAAAATCGTGGAAGAAAAGAAAACTCGTTCAAGTGCCAGGGAAAAGAAACCGGTAGACCGGTATGGAAACTGGATCGCTTACCTAGCCCATAAAACCAAAATCCAAAAAGAAGACCAAGACGACATCCCTTTTGAAGCTATGGCACTACAAACATTTGTAAAAGAAAACACAGTGGTTCCAGATAGCTTCAAAACCGCAAAAAACTCTTCAGAATGGCCATCGTGGAGAAAAGCCATCTTTACTGAACTCGACTCAATAATCAAGAAT